TCAGAAAATTTCAGATTTTCTGAAGAAGGGTCTAGGCCCGAAACGTCAGCCTTCCTGCTCCTGTGATGCTGCTCGGCCTGATAAGTCCTTAGCGTTAGTTTGTCTACCAATTTTTGAGATGTTACCGTCACAGAAACAATGCGGATGTAATAACAGTGCTGTTTAACCTTGGAGGCTGAAGGTTATGATTGCGGTCAGAAGGGGAAGGAATTAATTGGTTGTATTCAGGAATATGTGAGCCAGTGAGGTAGAAGTCATAATGAGGAAAGTTGGATTATTTTTCTTTGCTTTGGCTAATGAACTGGTACAAGGGAAAAGCTCGGAAAAAGAGTAAAATTCAAGGTCCAGTAACCACAGTATTAATTAGATTTATAGTTAATCTAGACACAGAAGAACTCAATATCTGGAAGACAGTAAATGGATAAGATGGAACACAGTTGAAATTAATTCAAGAAACAAAGATGAACTGGTGGTTAATAGACTTTCATAGAATTCCTACAGTGTGGAAGCAGGCCATTTGGCCCATCCAGTCCGCACTGACCGTCCAAAGCCATCCCGTTGATACTCAACCCCTACCCCTATAGCCCTGCGTTTACCATGGCTAATCCACCCAGCCTACGCATCCCTGGACACCATGGGCAATTTCCCATGGCCAATCCACCTAAACCTGCACGTCTTTGGACTGTGGGAGGAAACCAGAGCACCCAGAGGAAACCCACGCAGATACAGGGAAAATGTGCAAACTCCACGCAGACAGTTGCCCGAGGGTGGGATCGAGCCCGAGTCCTTGGCACTTTGGGGCAACTGTGCTGCCCCATATTTAAGATTTTTTTTTTCAAATTAAGGCAATATGGGCACTACTGGCTCAGCCAGCATTTATTACCCTGGAGAAGGTGGTGGTGAGCTGCCTTCTTGAACCTCTGCAGTACATTTGGTGCAGGTAGACCAAGGGAATCCTACAAGAATGGATTACTAGGAGATGAAGATGACAGTCTAGAAAAAATAGGTTTGCAATGTTTAACAAGTGTACTTTGATATTTAGAAAGGAAGGTGAATAAAACACTACAAAAGAAAGAGTACACAACCAAGCAATAGATCACAATAAATGATAAACAGGTAGTTATGATAACTGTATCAGTGGGTGGCACTTCCACATCAATCTTGAGGGCTGCAGGTTCATGCTGACTCAAGAAAAATCTAGGAATTACACCAAAGCATCAAAAGATGGAAACTGCACTATAAATGACAGAAAGAGAAAGCAAATATCTGCCTTGTTGTTAAGCTTCATCCCTAATTGCCTAGAGGGCAGTTAGAGTTAATCATATTGCTGTGGCTCAGTTGTCACATGTGTGCCAGGCCAAAGTAGGATAAAACTATACAAGGCACCAGTTAGTCAGAAATTCACCAGAGATCCTCAAACAGCACCTTCCAAACCTATGACCACTTCCATTTAGAAGGACAAGGGCAGCAGATACATGGGAACACCTCCCACCTTCAAGTTCCCCTCCAAGATATTCATCATCCTGACTTGGAAACGTATTAGCGTTCCTTCACTGTTGCTGGGTAAAAATCCTAGAATTTCCTCCCTAAGGGCATTGTGGGTCAATCCGCAGCAGGTGGACTGCAGCGGTTCAAGAAGGCAGCTCACCCCCACCTTCTCGAGGGGCAAAGGATGGGCAATAAATACTGGCCAGCCAGCGATGCCCACATCCTACCATTGAATTTTAAAAAAAGACCGTACCTGGAATACTGTGAAAAGTTTTGGTCCTGTTGTCTAAGGGAAGGTATAATGATATTGGAGCCAGTCCAGAAAAGGCTCACGAGGATTATAGGGCATAATTTCAGAGTAAAGGGCTGTCCTGTTAGGTCAGAGGTGAAGAGGAATCTATGCTTTCAGAAGGTAGTCTATGTGCAGATATCTTTATAACAGACAACTATTGGGGCTGGATCATTAGTATATTTAAGGCTGAGGGAGATATTTAATATTTGATTATCAAGGGTGACGGGGAGAAAGCAGGAGAATGGGGTTGAGGAACTTATCAGCCATGATTGAATGGCAGAGCAGACTCAATGGGCCAAATGGCCTAATTTCTGCTCCTATGTCTTACGGTCTTATGGTCTTACTCAGTAAAGGAATTAAGGGTTATAAGACAAGGAAGTGAGCCGATGATTATCAGATCAGCCATGATCTCGTTGAATGACAGAACAGACTCGGGCTGAATGGCCTACTCCTGTTTCTATGTCTTATCATCTTATAAGGATTACAGATTTCTTTTAAGAATGTTATTGAACTAAATGATTCTTTTCCAGTTGTAGGTACGTGGTTGCCAGATTTTTAATTGAATTTACGTTTCACCGTCCCCATGGTAGGATTCAAATCAAGAACATGAGACAGAAAGTTTGGATTACTCGTCTGATTACATTACAATTAAACCACCACCTGTCGACAGTAATGGGAATATTAAGTGGAAATGACTTGGGGGAACTTGTGCACTGAAAGCTAGCAAACACACAGGGTGCAGCAGGTAATCAGGAAGGCTCGTGGAATGTTGGCCTTTATATTCAAGGGGATTGGAGTATAAGAGTAAGGAATTCTAATTGCAACTGTGCTGGTGAGACCACACCTGGAGGACTGTGATTGGTCCCCTTATTTGAGGTAAGATATCATTTGATTGGATGCAGTCATTGACTGTTCACTAGAATGATCCCTGATCTGGTGGGACTGTCTTATGAGGAAAGGCTAAACAGGTTGGGACTCTACTCACTGGAGTTTGGAAGAACGAGAGGGGAATCTCATTGAAACACATAGGATTCTTAAGGGGCTTGTCAAGGTAAATGCTGAGAGGATGTTTCTCCTCATGGGAGAGTCCATGACCAGGGGGCAAAGCCTCAGAATAAAGGGACGCCAATTTAAGACTGAGCTGAGGAGGAATT